GAGGCTGGGGCTTACAAGAATGCAGCAACGGAACATAAGACAACCCCGTTGATGTTTGCAGCTGAGAAGGGCCACTTGGAAGTGGTGCGGTTGTTGCTCGTGGCTGGGGCTTACAAGAATGCAGCAACGGAACATAAGACAACCCCCTTGATGTTTGCAGCTGAGAAGGGCCACTTGCAAGTGGTGCGGCTGGGGCTTACAAGAATGCGCTAGAGCGCTTTGCCGCCAAAGGCTGCTGTGTAGCAGGGTCACATGGAAGTGGTGGAATTGCTTCGCTGAGTAGAAACAACAAATGAGCGTTTGTTGACATTTCGCACATTCACTTCCCCTTGCCTTTTGTTTGCGGGTGGTGGTTGGCATTTTATTGCGTGTGGCTCCGTCTTTCCATTTGGAAAGCATGAAGGGATTTTCTTTGATGGAGGTATCCCATGCTGCCTCCCACTATAGCGGCAACTCCTGAAACTCCTTCAAACAAGTGACACAATTGAAACACCTTTGATCATCTTTGATCAACAAAAAGTATTCATGCATGCACATCGACGCGCACGTACCGCGTCATTACGCAGTACCCGTCAGCTTGCTTTTAGTAGATATAATATAGCACGAAGACAACGACCAACCCCACGCGTCATAACGACGGAGCCAGCCACCCAGGTGCAGCATTGCCCTCGAACTTCGACTGCGACCTGGGCTACACCATCGGTGCCTCGGGCAGAAGGACATTGGACCATTCCTCTTTTTGAAAGAAGGACATTGAGACGGACATCACTACGTTTGCTGGTTTGGTCCTAAACTTGTATGACCTTTGGATGTGACAAGAATTGGTTGAAAAACACAGTTACTGCCGACTCTTTGGCAGCCATCCAGCCATTTCCCTCCTGGAGGCTTCTCCCACCCCATCCCTGTCCGTGTGGACTACACGAGGCTATGCGGCAGCGACCTTCATCACCCAGGAAAGAACAGCCTTGATGGTCACTTGGAGATTTGGGGTGTTCAGATGTGTTCGGGCTGATGGTCAGTGTGTTTAGCTTGTTGATCATGTTGATTCATGTGGTTCTGATTGTTTCTGTTTTTCCGTGTTCAGGCATTTGTGATTGTGTCCTTCATGTTCTTTTATGTCCGTATGTTGTGGTGTGCCATGGTGTGACTTCCTTGTTTAAGTTTGAGGTTTACTAGGTTTGTAGTTTTTGTGTTTGTTTTGTTGTGGTGTGTCTTCGTGCTGGGTCCGCAATGTAATTTTGATGAGTTCATGTGTTCGCGGTTGTTGTCATTGATTTGTTGCTGCTTTCTGGGGGATTATAACTTTGCAAATCTCGGAGTTGGACATATCATTGCCCAACTTGAAGGTTGCAACAATCATGTCATACGGGCGTCGGGCGCTTCGGCATCATTCAGCAAGAGGAGGGGCCCTCTGAACATCCCATCGGGGGTCATCCTCTTTGCAGCACTTGGCTCCCGTACCACCCACCGGTTGGTGCCATAAGAAGAGCGGAGCGCTATCAATCAAAAGATATCAAAAGTCCTACTCTTAGAGACTTGTCCTACTCTTAAAGAAGCCCTTAAAGACTCTATAAGACTCTTAGACCTAGAGGTTCCTGACATCATGTTTTGCTGCCTCCTAGGTGGACGTCACCAAGCTCAAAGATGATGTCAAGAGCTGGGAGGTCCGAACTCCGAACGAACTGCCTTCGCGAGGGCCGTGTCGATCCAGCGAGGCAGCCTTTGAGTTGATTGGGACATTTCAGGTTGGTGACCTAGCTATGAAGGTCTAACGCCAGCATATGAGAAGGGACAAGGAATGTGTTTTTTTTTTTTCGCATATTTGATGGAAAGCATTTACACCCTGAGACCTTTCCTGACTTGCATTTAACACATGTAAATATTTATGTTGAAAAAAATATTGGATTGGTTTGATCCCATCCCCCTGCCCCCCAGCGGCAGCGAGCGCTGAATCTGGCAGCGGCCACTGATCCGAGCCTCGGCGTATGCTCAGATATGCTCCCTCCCACCAATGGGCGAATTGTATGGGCATGGGTAGGGGGATGGAGGGACAAAATAAGAATGTATACTACCGTAGTTGGACGAATTATTCGAACCCTTACAGGATTCCCCCCCTACCCCCCTTAGCTCAATGCTGGCATGTTGGTGAAGAAGGTTGGATTGAGTGGACAAATCAAATCAAAACGTTGAGAACCAACTGTCCTTTCACTTATGCAGCATTGAAATCGGGGGGCGCGGGGGTGGTGTTCTAGCATGTAGTTTAGGATTTAGGGCTTTGATTAATTTGTCTACTGTAGGTCCTTAGGATTTGTTGAATGACCTCCTTGATCCCAACAAAATAAGTTGTTCTTTTTTCTCGCACTCCTTCAGTTGAGAGAGATGCAACCAACCCATGGTTTAAACGGAAGAATTGCGATCGGCTGTGGGTGATCCTAGATACTGCCCGATCGGCTGTGGGTGATCCTATGTCATCATTATGAACAGCCTGATCCCGCCCAAGTCGGGTACGCCGGTTTTCAATCTTGCGCCAGGTCTTTGGCACGCCGATCTCTTCCCTCCTGACCTTCCAGTCGCAAGGGGAGGCGCTGTCAGGTCTGATGCATTCTTTGGTGAACCATGAAGCTTGTATCTAGAATCTAGACACTTGTTTTTTGTTCAAACATGGGGGATCAGCAGGGGTGTGCTTGCAAGAGTCTGTCATGTTCATTTGTCGTGTTGACGACTGCATTTGAGTCAAGTCAAACTAAACTGGCCAACCCAGGCTGCTGCCTTCGTTTTTTGCACGAAGCAAGATCTACGATCCCTGCACCAAACCCTTGACGCAACGACTCGCGACCGGATTTGGCTCAAGCCACGCTGCGCCCAAAGCCGCGCTTGACCTCCTTCGCCTCGTGCCAACGCCGCGCCGCGCGATGAGGCTGCGGCGGTGGGGGGTCCTGGACATAGACTCATGAACCAAGGTTTGCATCCTGTTACTAGTAACAAGAAGCCACTAGGGGCTCCTGGCCTTACTACTAAGGACGCTACTAGTGGCTCCTGGCCGTACTACTAGTAACAAAGGGCATTGCTACCCCAAAGTTTGCCCGAAGATCCTCCCGAAGTTTTGCATTATTACTGCATTAGGGGCAAGTCTATGGTCTTGGTGTGATTTGGCTTCTTTTGCACTGGAGAGCACCCTTATTACCCTCGCACAGGGGTACAGAAATCCTGCCGAACATGCCTCGCTCATGAGACTCCTAGTGTGCAAGTTCCTGAGTTCTCAAATTGTGCCACGAGTGAGGTCACGCTGGCCCTGGAGGAGGAAAGCGCAGGAGGACCGATTCAAGTTCCTAAAAATGCGTTTCAGAAGGACAGAAAGTTTGGTGGCCGAAAGCATCCAGAATTGATTTCCTGGCCTGTGATCGTAACACATCAGGGTGGTGTAACTGCATAAATGCATAACCATGCTGATGTTGGATGGACGAGTCAAGAAATTTACCAGCAACCAAAGATGACTTTCCTTCCAAAAAGTCATGCGAATCCAACCTGAGGATCAATGGCATAATTGTAGCTTGGTCAAATGCAACCACGACGGCAAAAGCTGTGGATGCCTAGAAGGCCACTGGACTCGTCCATACTCCATGAGTCGAGTTATCCTCAAAGGCGTCAAACCAACGCAGCGGAGGTGCCCTTTGGGTTCTTCTGAGCACTCTCTTGCTCAACGGTTCATTCCATCCGTGCCACTTGGGTCGTGAGGATGGCAGATCAAGATGAATCTGGGCCACAAGACCGCCGGGTGGACGAGGTGCAGATTACGGTGAATGCTGTCCATCGATTTATGACAACTCCCCCCCAAAGCTAAAAGGAATATCGTCGGCAAGATGCTTGCCAATGTTAGTGGAAACTGGTCAAATCGGACTTGGTGTGAAGCGGGCGTTTCTTCCTTGTCGTGAAATCTGCGTAGGTCTCCAGGATGGCCTGTGAACAACTGATCGGTTGTGGAAGTGAAGTGGTGGTGCCTCTCTATATCTTTATATCAACGGTATGTGATAACAGATAGCAACAGTGATGTTGCGAACCCTTGCCCCATATCTTGAGGACTTGGGTGACTCGAGAGGGACGAGGGGCAAGGGGTTGGGGTATCCATTAATGATTCCTTTTTTCAAGCTTCAAAAAGACCCAACGTTGAAGGAGCTACGGCAATGCCCCTGACCATGTGCCAGTGGCAGAAGCAACACATTACGGCCGCCGCCTGGTGGTTGGCCTTCCTGTGCACACGAAAAACTGTGTGAGCTCCCCCGTGCAGGTCGTCATCGTGGAAGGGGTCTTCAGCTGGTTCGCAGCCTGGATGATGATGCTGTGGCTGGTGGTGTGCATTTGCCAGCTGGCTGCAGGAGATTGCCACGTTTGCCGCCACATGAGCTAGGGTTTGGTTCGAGAAGAGCCAACAAACCTGGTAGACGAACAGAAGATCGATAGCTCATAGAGAGAGTCAGAGAGAGAGAGAGAGAGAGAGAGAGCGCGTGCGTGCGTGCCTGCCTGCCTGCCTGCCTGCCGTCCGTGCCGTGCGTGAATGAGATGATCCCTGAATGCCCTCATATTGACAGGTCTCCTGAATATGAAGCTTGATGAACCTTTTCGAGATCTGGGCTCACTGCATAGCATTGGGATCCGCAGAAAAACACACCCAGAGATATATAGCTAGGATGGCTGAGAACAGCGATGGCATCCCCTTTGGGGCACCCGCCACCTTGGGTCGTATGAGATCAGTCGTATCAGTCGCGTGCATCGCTACCAGGCTCGCTGACCATGGCGGTGCTCACCTTCCAGGGCGAAGGCATTGAACGGATCTCTGAGGAGCGGTCTGATGGCGGGGGTCGTTTGATGGCGGTGGGGTGGGTTGCCTGCAGTTTTGGACGAACACCGATTTCTTGAGGCGATATGGCACTCCCGGAAAAACGAAGACCATGGAAGTGGCAAACCACTTGGTTTTTTGAGGAAATGGCCATCCAAGGGCCATGGTCCATGTCCATGATTCTTTCGGGGTGTTGTACTCTAGTTCTTGCTATACCCTAATGGATCCACATACCCTTTGAGAGGGTGAGGAAGGAGACACTAGGCTTGTAGGCGCCAGGAGGGTCCAAGTACTTTTGAGAAGGTATGTGGATCCCTAGTGAAAGGTTAACTTTAGCATACTTTAGCCTTGGACGGTTTTAAACTTGCTTATGCAGCCATTGCTGGCAGTTGAACTTGAACAGTTACAGACTTGTCAAACTCCACATGTAGCGGAACAGACCCTTCCCAACACCAAAGTCCCCTTGGATGGGGTATCCATGTATTGCAGACGGCGTGTGACACGCATGTGCTTTATTTGGCCACTTGAGTGCCACTTGAGTGGCGCACCAGAACTGAACTGGTCACCTGCATGGTCCATCACCTGTTTCAGGGTCCACTCAACTTGAAACATCCCAACCCTACGGGATCCAGTCGTACCTTCTCCTCAGCTTCGGTACGACTGGATCCTGGCACCCAAGAGATCCCAAGGTCCCCCAAAACCCTTCACCGAGATGGATGGTCCCCTGCACCGCCCGTTTCGGACGTCGTGTTTCTCCGATGTTTCTCCGGAGGAGATCTCCTTCGTACGGCAGCAGCAGCTTGGCAGTGTGGCTCCGCGGGTCCGCATGTTTTTTTCGTTTTCAGAGGGTAGACGATGTTCCCTTCCAAGAAGGTATGGGCCAGAGGGCTTGGTGTAACGAGGGTATATAGAACATCTAGACGACAAAACCCTTCCGTACGAAGGCATATATCTGGTTGGGCGACCGTGGCCCCAGTTGGCTCTTTTTGTTGAACGTTGGCATTCCTTGTTCCATGCGGAACGACTGCATTCAGCGACTGCATCCAGTTCTGATGTGTGGCCCTTCACTGGTGATCGGACGAGTGGCTGAAGAGCACTGCTGAAGAGCACTGCCTCCTCCCATCAGGAGCCCCCCCTATGGGCCGGCAGAGCAGCCGTCCTTGGCCAACGTCAGGGAGATCAACGAGCCCTTTCGCCGCTCAAAGTCAAATGGCTTAGCCGAGTCGGTTCGGACTTGGTTATGCTGGCGCAGGTTGGTTTAGCTGAGGTGGAGGGAGGGATCCGTCAATAGGAGATGGAGTGGATGCAAGTGAGCAAGCAGTCGTGTGGATGCAAGTGTGGATAGCAATGACAGATGTTGAGAGGATGTTGGGCTTGGGCTCATGACAGGTCAGGTGAATGTGTGTTCGTTTCGGGACTGCCGAGGGTCCTGTGCTGACGTTGGACAGGTCCTGCCGGGTCACAAGAAAGACTTATCAACAGCCGCTCGCAATGCCTGACAACTGATCTTGCACCAGCCAATAACAGAAGAACAGGGAAGGACATTCTGCCACCAAGACGGGCAGACCTTGGCAACTGACCGTGTCACTTCACTCCTTGTTGTCTCTGCGAGTTGCATTGCGAGGTTCTAGAAAATTGGAGTGCCTAATGCCAGTGGAGCTACACTGCTCGCAACCATATGGAATAATATGGAATAGCGGAAGTGTCAAGCCACCAAATTTTATGGAGGAAATTGGTCAATCAAAGGTCCATGCCATCCACTTCCACCTTGATTTCACGGAGTGGCGTATCTAATGCCTTTTTCGCTGCAACGGATCGGGTCCATGCTGACTCGATGGCAGCCCAGGATATCACCTTCCACAAGTGGCTTTGTTCTACTCGATGGCTTCAGCAGCATTGGGGCTTTTCACAGCCACGTGGCGGATCGAGCTTTGCAGTCCAAAGAGCATTGGGTCCCCTCACCCCATGCGCCGCTCAACAGGCGCTGCACCCATATGTTTTCCTGCAAATCGGTGTAGAGCAGCGCGGGTTCTCCAAACGCGCGTTTCTGCCGCCACGCGCCTGGTGAATTCAAATGATGGTTTCAGTACGATGTTTCATGAGGTACTTTGGTAGAGCAGTGCTCACTTACCCGAGTTCCAGTCACATCCAGAAGGTTCAACAGGGGCCCGCAAGAGACTTCGACGTCACATGCTGTGTGAGTCATAGAATTCGACGCCGTCGCCGCAGCACCACCGCCACCGGACCCATCGTTGCCAATCGACTCAGTGATTGTCCAAGCCTGACCTGATGGCAAGGTCAGCTTCTTTGCCAACTCGATGCTTTTGGAGACGCAGGGGACCTCCAGGGCAGTGCCTTTGGCGGCAGGGTGGTTGTTTGTGACTTATACTGTACTTGCTTGCTCTTCCGATGTGATTTGAAACAAACACCCTATCAAACAAATGCAACACATGCCCTGAAAGGTGATGGCATGCAAAGAGAGCGCCACAATTGCCAGATCCTAATAGAGGAAACACAAAGAATGCAAAGAAACAGAGTGAACAAGACCTGGCACGTGCAAAAAAAGAGCGTGCTCCAAAAGCGTGCTCCAGTCAATGCCATAGGCAGCCGGCCTGTTGTTCCTTTGGGCGGTGTGGAGCTTGCAGGTTGCATTTGTCCACAGGGCTTTGATGTAGCAGCATTGAGTTGGCTCAGGTGAACATTAACATGCTCATCGCGGAGGGTGGCTCGGCACGAAGGGGTCCGCGCAAGCAGGATGACCTTACGTTTCCCTCTATTTTCCTTCTATTTGGGCCCACACCATGGTGACCACAGTGGGTGTGTCCCCAACTTCGTTCTCACCTCGTTCCTCTTGGGGAGGTCTAACGCTCGATGCGTTCGGTCGGAGGAGTCTGCTCACCGTCTCGGTTCTGCACACAGAGAGACCTCTCAGACTTGGTCACGTGGAGATAGAGAGTGAGATAGATCGAGATGACTCGCTGAAATGTCATCTCATGGAAGTGGCCAGAGGGGGGCCCTTGGAGAACAATGCTAGCATGTTTCTTCATCAGGTAGATCATGATAGATTTAGCTTTTAGTCTTTTTAAGACCCAGGTGTTCACATCTACATGTCTCGGACCTTCCCGGTGATCCTCCTCTTTCTTCTCTCCGCTGGTGGATATGTCTACGTGAGCTCCGGATGGGGCACGCTGGCGTGCTTCTGTGCGGGGGCCACTCAGCAGCAAAAAAAGGCGCAGGAATCGCACTAAGATTGGAATATCATGACGATCCGATGACAGACTGGCCAAGTGCCAGAATGCTCACCCATCCTCAAAACCTCAGACTCCAGACTGCCCCTCGTTGGTGTACTTGCGGCCTTGTGGACGTCCGCACCCTGAGATCCATTTGAGGCTTTCTTGAACCTGCTCTCCGCATGGATTGGCGTGCGCACCGCTGTGCAGGGTACTTGTCGGTTGGCCACCGTGATGGGGGAGAATCTCTCTCGCTCGGTGCAGCGGCTGGGCCTGGAAGGCGAAGAACGGGCGCGGGCGGACGGGGCGCGGGCGCGATCGGAAGCGGTCGCGGTCATCCGAAGCGGTCGTACTGAGCGGCACTGTGTGCCTCCAACACATCAGCGTGGTGGGTGGCGGAGGCAATGTGAGAATTGTGTGGTGTACGTTGGCCGTAAAGTTGTATTGAAATGCGCAAGAGCGACGGTCCAGATTGTTTGTTTTTTTTTTTTTCATTTTGTTTTCACCAGTCTTGTTGGCAGTTCTTTCCCAGCAAAAATGCATTGCGCACTTTTTATTGATCATTTGCAAACCTGCCAAACCTGCCACTGCCGAGATCTGCCGAGGATTGGAATGTACACCGGATCCATCGGTGGCTTGCTGTCAACCTCCTTAGCTTTGGGAGGCGGAGCAATCGGAAAGAGGGAGAAAGAATGGAGCAAGCAGAGTGCTGGAGCTTTCGGTTGAAAAAACAAGAATGGCTTAGTCACCAAACAAGAACATCATTATTTTGGAACAGGGCCTACAACCAAACCATCATCATCCATTGTTATAGGTGTTAGGATACCAAAGAATGGCTATGAAATGCTGATGAATGAAATTGGTGTGTATAGCTATGGCTTCTATAGCTGAAGGCTTTGGGGGCAACTTAAGGCAACAAGACATTGGCTTTTTCCCATAGCTTCATTGAAAATTATTTTTGGATACGCTTGTCAATGCATTTTGATGTTTTGGACTGGAAGTTAAACAACCCCAGCCTGCCAGGCATGGCGGGCATGTGGTTTTGGGCCTTAGCTACTTGGAGTTGCAAGGAATGGTGAATTGGATAGTGACCCGTCAGCTGTTTTTTTGTGTGTTTTATTACTAATTAGCCAGTTTGGGCCGGCATTTATTTTGTTTGCAGGCCTGACAGCCAAAACATCCTTGAATGTGTAAAGCTATTCATTGTTGTTTGTGACCCATCGCGCGCATCTATCCAGTTGTTGCCACTTCTGGCACATTGGCTCGGCCTAACTTCCTGGTGATGTTGGCCCAACTCGTTCGTGCAGGCGCGCATGCCAAGGACACCTCCCTGCTGTCGGGCTTTGGGTCCGGCGCATGCTTGGTTTCCTTCTACCTCCGTGTGGGTGGAGGTATTTTCTCCAAGGGTGCTGAGCTAGGTCCGGCCACCCGGAGCGCCCAACGTTGGGCCAGGGAGGAAGTGCGCGCCGGAATGCGCCGGACACCTGCATGTTTTTTTTTGGAGAGGATTGGGATGTGTGGGTGGTCCACATATGTCCACATGGTGCATGGTACACACCGATTGGGGCATGTGTGTGTGCATCAAGTCCCCAAATCAGATTTCACGCCTTTGCCCATTCCCAAAGCAGCTAGCCCCCTCAATGGAATTCAGAACCTTCACCTGGCACTGGCACCAGGTGCTGACCCATCCAATGTGGATTTTTCCAATGCATTGGACCCATCCCCTTCGCCAACAGAGGTGGCGATTTGGTGGGTGAGATGAATGAATCAAAGGCGGGACGGGTGAAGTGCTGCAGGGTTGGGAGAATGTAAGGGGACGGAAGGGGATGGAAGGATGTTTGGGATATCTTTCCTCCCAGCCACACAAGATCCATGTGAGGACCACGGGTTTACACGAAAAATCTTTGCATCATCCAGTGCTGGGTTGAGTCCTCAAAGATCCCCCAAAAAAATGTACAAAAACACCAGTGAGTTGGTGTAATTAGGCTGTTTTTCATTCAAGAAGTTATCCATGTCCTTTGTACATCTGAACTGACTATGCCACTGCAGCGGCCGCTCGGTCGGTGTGGGTCTATCTTGCTGGTCTTGCAGCTCCAAAGCAGTTCCAAGCCGTTGAAGTCATGAATTACACTCCCTGGAACTAACATGGAAGTGGAACATGGCCACTTATATAAACAGACCATTTTCCACTAGAAACGAGGAGGTTTCCATTTCCATGTTAGTTCCAGAGGTTTAAATCCCAGAAGCAGGTCATGATGTCCTCATGAAATCAAATCCGAAGTGTCCACGAAGCTTTCCCAACCCATATTATCAGCGGACAATTTACACCGTCCACATACTATGTACTGTATGTGAATATGTCTTAATCGAGACATTGTTCACCAGACATCAAACCCAAACTGCGATGTCACACCTTGAAAAACGCCAAACAGCGATGTCACAGATAGAAAGGAACACAATCGCCCAGGCACGAACCAATCACTCAGGCAAGACCATCCGACTCCAGCCGAGTGTCCATCCGACTCCAGGTGGACGAGGAGCGCCGGGTCTTCGAACTTCAGCAGCGGATGGCCGCTGGGCCGAACCCACCGATCGAGCGGTTTTGGGGTCCCGGTTCATTCGTGGGCAAGCGAAGGAGTGGTCCCGATGTGTTGAGACGTGAAACGTAACGCTGAAGTGTCAGAAGCCCCTGCTGTGTTTTAAGTGAAGCTTTTTGATCTACAGAGAGTCAAGAGGAGAAGGAATGACCTGTACATGAAAGTGGCCCCTCAAAGACCCAATCTTCCCTGACACAAGATTGGGTATGTTCACAAACCTTGCGGTGTGGTTGACCGTTTGGCTGGCACTGAGGAGAGCATGAAGAGAGCGCGCAAGGAACGCTTACAAAAAGGCTGGGTTTCACTGGGTTTCGCTCCCTACCTCAAGATAACTTTGTGATATTTTGCGCATGTATGGAGTATAGAATTGGAGACCAGTAGCACGATGTAGCAACAGTACATGAACACCAGGGGTTTGTGGGAAAGCTTGCACGCTGCCGTTGGCGCCACGGTGTGTGCCAGGCTTGGAGGATGACGAAGAAAACGCTTTGGATGAGTTGCGGATGCTGGAAGAAGAGATGCACGACATGTGCGCGGAGCCTGGGGTTGCGCCCGCGTCAACGGTGCTACCCTGTGGCGGTCAAGGGTTCAGATGTACCGTGCAGGTGGGGGAGGGATCCGGACTCTGGAGTTCATGGCCTGCAAGCAGGTGGGTGCCATGAGCGAATGAGTGAACGAGAGAGGTGGGCTCGTGGTCGGTTGGCTCATAGGGGCCACCACTAATTACCCTCCCTCGAACAATCATGGTGGAAGTGGAAGTGACAATGGCCTCCTGGAACACGATTTTCCACTACCAACAGGGGATGGTCCAGAACCAGGTTCGCTACGTAGTATGGGCTCCTGGCCATACGACGAACGGAACCAGAACGGCTACATGTACGTTCCGCCGGAGCATGTCGGGCCAAACCGTCCAACCGAACGGAAGTCAGGACGGTCGGTTCACCGAGTGGCGCCTCGTCCGTGCCGCGGATCGTCCGTGCCGAGGAGCTTCACCCTATCGACTTCTTGGACGAAGTGGGCGAGGCCAAAGTGACGCTCCACGAAGCGCACGATGATCCAGTTCAAACCAATGGTCTACCCTCTTACCAAATGGATGATGGGGCCCTCTAACAAATAGTATTTCAAGTGCAACGGCGCCCCACGAGTGATAGAATGTGAATGCGTTTGGTGCGGGAGGCGCTGAACATCATGAAGCAAGGTTCGCTGGCTGGAAAGCCAGTGAACCTTGCAAAGTTAAGTTATTCCCTGGAAATCGGCGATGGCCGCTTCAAAAAGAGGAATCTGGAAATGAAACCCTAGAAACGGAGAGGGGCGGCAATATGTGAGGAGTGACCATCCTGGAAGATCAGCATGTGTTGATGAGAGTAAAGTGTCAAAGTAGTCAACATGTCAACGACCACCGACTCTACTCAGTGATTCCAAGTGATTCCTGTAGCTCCATGATGTTCCATTGATCCTATATACATGTATAAGTACATGTATTAAATTTACATCATACAGTTTTACAATGTTACACATATAGTTTAATCATATCTATTATCCTTTTCCTGTTAGTTCCAGTTGTTTAAATACTGTAAACACATCACACAACATATATGAGGCGCCGATCCTTTTCGATGTTCCCCTGCAGCGTGCGGTCGACTGCGCGCGCCGCCCGCATCCCGGTGGAGGTCATTTGTGACTTGACCGGCACCTGTGTGGACCTTTTCGTGGCTCGGCCCGTGAAAAAGGGCGAGCGGCGCGTGTGGAATGCGTTTCAATCCACTTCAATCCTGAAAGAACTATAACTATAGAACACTATAGATCTAAACAATGTATATATTGGATGGCTTCATGAGTTTCAGGTGTCCTTCCCTCCCTGGTCCTCCCCAAGAGTAGACAAGTCACCCCGAGGAGTCCATGGCCTTGATTTTGAGCAGCTCCGCGATGATCGGCGCGAAGACCAGCAGCGTGCCGCACTTTCTGACCGGGCTCCCCTTTTGGATTGTGGCTTCGGGCAACATAGGACCCCGCTTCGGCTGACGGAGGGGGGGCACCTGGCGGATGGAAGATCGATGAAGAACCGTACAAGCACTGGAAATCGTACTGTGGATCGGGCGAGTGGGGCAGTTTCCCCGGTGCTTTTCGGGGTGTTTTCCTTCAGTAGTTCGACAACCCTTCTTGGTGGCACCAAGGTGGGCTTGGCGGTGCAAGCTTTTTTTTGTGTTGCATGTGACTGGATCATAACCAATGCTCGTGTGAGTTGCACTGTCGATCATTTACGAAGAGGCCAACCGATCCTATGAGTTTGGAATGCACAGACTCGCCCTGGGCAAGAACCTGGCAACCGATGCCTTGCAGGATGTTCACTGGCTGCCTGCAAGATCCATTGCACAGAGCGCGCCTTTGAGAAGAACCAGCCACTTCAGGGTTGATTTGAACTAATCACGAAAGGTAGCCCTTTAGGGGATACCTTGAGTTTGTCTTGCGAAGCAAGTGTTGGGACGTCCGGGTCTAATAATTGATCGCTCAATTCAGACCCCCTCCCCCCCCTCTAAAATCAATTCTCTCCTGGAGAACGTCTTCGTGAGCCTCTCATGATTTCAGGATAGTTGAAACCCTCTTGAACATTCAGAAAGAGTGAATATGAAATTCTAATCACGAAAGGTGTTCCCCGAGGGGATACATACCTAGAGTTTGTTTTGTGAAGCACGTCAATTCTCTCCTGGGGAGCGTCTTCGTGAGCCTCTTGTGGTTTCAGGATAGTTCAAATCCTATGATGTTCCGATTCAATGCTCACCGATGATCTGAGCCATGGGGCAAGTTTGTTTTCCTAAGAATCTTTGAACATTTCGAGAGCACATGTTTGAACATTTAGAGTGCAAATGAACATATATTTACGAAAGGTCGCCTCCGAGGGGATAAATCACCATGTCGAACATTGCATTTTTGTTCCTGCCTCTCGCGTTCTCTTCTCTTCCCGCTGTCCTACCTTTCGTGTCTCCCTCCTCTCAAGTGTAGACATTTGATGAATAAAGCATTCCGGATGAGGAGGTGTTCAATCCAAATGAGAGGTGTGTTTGATCAACATTTAGCCACCCGCTGTAGTTTGATGTATGGGGTCACATCCCTCTCTACTTAGGATACAGTGCTCGAGCTATCCGCTGGTCCTTGCGCCTGAGCCTGTGCCAACCTCAACACCCCATGAGACTCGTGCGAGATCGATTCGATCCACAGGATTTGGTCGTTTGCAGAACTTCCAATGATTCCTTCTAGCCCAAAATGGAAGTCATTTCTTATCCACTACCATCGAGGTAAGACAAGTCCTTTGGACTCTTAGGGAATCCTAGGATGGCTCAAGATCATATGCTACTCTTTGTTCAATGGTAGTTGAGGACATTTTGCACACATGTGTAGTTTTTTTTTTTTTAAAACAGGAGCCAGGAGCTGCCTGGCATTGAAACAGCCTCGATCAGAACTGCAGGGTCAATTTGCAGGTTGCTGGAGCCTTTGAAAGTATTCATTCTTCCTTTGGGGGACATGGACATGGCCACAGAGATCGAAGGACTGTTTCGGCATTGACCGTTGCGAAGCTCGGAGCTGACTTTGCAGGCTGGCGGTGATCTTCTTCGTGCAGTTCGTTCAGAGACTGGGCGGAGGAAAGAGCCCTTTTAGGTGGGAAAAAACATCGGGGTTTTCTTGTATCACGAGACTTGCAAGATCATGGCCCGGACACGACCTGTCTGGGACTGGCATAGGACTGCCGCCCCAGACAGACCCCCTTTCAACCACCCAACTGATCGGCAAATATGGCGTGCATGGAGCGTCTGCATGTTCTTCATCGAGTCTTGCCACTGGCAGGTGAGCCAAAGAAAAAATACAGGTGAGTGAAAGGGTGCCATTCTCGCGCATGCAATGCTCAATAGACCGCTTCTCACACATTCTCAGCTTGATATGGACACTGCTGTTGGCTTTGAGGATTGGAGTCGGCTTTTTGGAATGGGTGCACGGCAGCATCACCTTCACCATGTTTTGGCACTTTGCCACTGGGAGAGAGCAGGGGAGGGCGAGGGGCGGGATCAAACACTCTCAGCTTCTCTCAGCTTTTGGGTGACCTGCACGGGGTTGGTGTCCCTGCCATTAACCCATCAGATGGGACCGAATCCACTTCGCGGCAGGGAGGCTTGAGTGAGGCGCCCGGGGTTCCGGAGGCCCTGAGGATCCCAGCAAGCTGCCACCCAAGCAGCCTACGGGTTCAGAGAAGCTGGTGATCTCTGAACTCTCTTCAGGTGGTGATCTCTTTAGTCGGCCAGCTCTTGCCGGAGAGCCTTGGTTAAGAAGGGCTTGGTTGAGACAAAGGTATAACAAATGGCAGGACTGGAGGAGACTGGAGACATGGGGGGGACTGCAGACATGGCTCATTCAAGGGTTTTGGTGCTACAGTAGGTCCTTGGGCCGATGAACATCCGGGCTCACATGAAGCCACGCACCTACCAAGCTCCTGCACTATCAGTCGGCCATTAAATGGGCTCAAGACTAAGCAGACTCGTTTCCATTTAAGCCAAACACGGCCCTTAATTAGCCTACGGGTCACCGAAGTCCCACGTTTTTGTTCCATCAATCTTGGACCAATTGAACAAGCTCGACATCCCAGCTTCTTCAAAGTGACCTTTTTTTGAGTGACCTTTGACCGGTCTCTTTGTGACCGGTGAAAAGCTCACGTTTTTTCAGCACCAGGTCTGACCCACCGGTCACCGCCACTCTCAGAATCCCGCTCGGGGTCCGGTAACGAGGTTCTGCGTGATCACCGGGGAGTACTTCACGTCACCCGACTATTGGCCCATTCGTTCGTTGGCCACCAACTCCACGAACGGCGTGGTGCAGGCAGCGAACTCGTGACGAACCAGCGAACTCGTGACGCACGAGTGTGAGCAGCACGCTGTTGGCATGTTTGTATACGTTGGAGAGCAACTGACCTGCACACCTGGGAAGAGGCCCACAATGGAACCGGAAAATCCTTTGGATGATATTTTTCCTTTACAACCCAGTGGTGTTCATATAATATCTTCCATATGAATTTTCCAGAATGATAACAGTCAGTAAACAATTGTTATATAATATATAACTTATATTATATATATAACTCACTACTTTTCGATCAAGGCCTTTACTGACAATCATCATCCATTGTTACTGGTAATAGGATAGACCCAAGCTGAGCATATGTGGTGTTATGGGCATAAGAGATAAACACAAAGAGATGTTAAGACTGTTAAGAGGCCGCTACTGTAGCATCCTGCTGATGAATCTGCATTTGTGCAGAAGGTGTGCCAGAATGGTGGAAGAATTCTACACCACCACCGACAAACACCAATTGCATGATAAGAGTGAAAAGAGTCCATGTTTGGGGTGACCTGCGTTTTGGTATTTATTCTGGGTGTTGGAGTGGAGAACGACTCAGCAGCGTGTTCAACCATGCAGGCACATTCGAGCGATTCTCGTGGAACCACCGCTTCGAAGGCTCCGAGCGTGGCCACCGGACATGGTGCATTCCAGGTAAAAACGCCGTACTGTCGACCCATGCACCAGGGATACTCAATCCCTTGCACTTACTCCCCGACTCGGCCCGACTCGTTCGTATGCAGTGTGTCGGTGAGTGCTGCTTGCTCACCGTGCGCTCATCACCGGAGAGGTGATTCTGCAGGGCTTGGGCCAGGGCTTCTTATCAACAGCCACACCAGCCATACTCATGGCGCCTCATCAGCAGAGAGTTCGATTTCACTGACTTCGGTCAAAGGACTCAAAGACCAAGTCGAAAGACCCGCTATCCTCGATGTTTGTCACTGAAGTTCAGGGAGAGCACAAGAAACGCCAGATATTGGCTGGTAAGCCCATGTCCTTCGGCATCAATTGGAGATCCATTTTCCTTGATTGTGAAGCCTTGCTTTGCAGATTGATCTGCAAAACCGGCTGGGGATGTGCTAGGTGGGGAGACCAATCTCCTGATTTGGAGGGTTTGGGCTTCGACAGAAAACGGCTTCAACACATGTGACCTTTCAATTGGTGATCACCGTCCATGCTTTGATGAGGCTTCCTTTTGCGCACCAGAGGTTTGCACGTGGGGATTGCAGGTGTTGAGCCGTATTGCAGTTGATAGACTGTAGATGTTCAACTGGTTTGCTGGACATGTTGGAGTTCTATAGTCTACTATATATACCATTCATACAAAGAAATTTCATGAACTTATATATACATATAACATATATATATATAGAGCTGATGCAGTCGGCATTGCCTCTCCCCTTCGTGGAAGAATGACTTCAGGTCCTTGCGGTCATCATCACCTGGGGTTTGCAGGGGCACTATGGCTTGGCCTTGTTGGCCTCGTCATCAGTCAGCGGCCGGGTCCTCCGATGTTTTCCTTGAAACATCGCGGTGTGCGTGGAGATTGTGGAGGGGGTGATGCAATCACATGGCGTAGACATCAGGTATGGCATGGCTATGCACCAGTGCCATGGGCAGGTGTTGAGAAAGGTTGGTTGACCATTTTAAGCAAGCATATTTAATGGATCATTTCTTGAGCTTCATCACCCCATTCGATGTTTGCCTTGGACCCCCTACCAAATACTCAGTGAGTCGTCTACTTGGTGTGAAACACAGAACCATCTGACCTCCTCCTGCGCTCCTGCGGCCTCCTGCAAATTGCGCTCCCACGGACTGCAGGCACGGGATTTCAGGGTAGCATAGCATCCTTCGGAGCTATTGCCACCAATGCACACAAACAAGTACACCTCACCACCTATGATTCTCTCAGCCGAAACCGTGGCTCGACGACTGAGAGATTGGGACGAGAGACTGGAAGGATGGGTCTTCCATTGTTGACTCTTCGTGATGGGATTTCGCCTTCAATAAGAGGATGGTTTGACATCTCCAGGTCTTGGGGGTTTGTCATGTTTTGAATTCTTCAAGTTGTTTCCACAAAATTAGAGCGTTGTGCGACACTGGTTCTTGAACCCAACGAATTGATCATCGATTCATGCCTTCACCCAGCGGCAGGTCCAGCTGCCACTCTCTATACACACTGATTCACTAACATGGAAATGGAAAATGGATGAAAATGGCCTCTGGGAGGACTACTTTCCTTTACAAACAGTGGGTTTTCCACTTCAATGTTAGTGAGTTGGAGTGTATATAATTAGTATAGCCTGTGATTGTCTTGTTGGCAATTGTTTGGTTTTGTGGGGGTCCCTTGGTTGATCGAATCAAGACCATCTAAGAGAATTCGTAAATCATGGACCGGTCCAGCAACAACAACTCAAAGTGGTCAATTGAGCCTATGCCCACAAGCCTATGCTAAGGCTGCTAAGGTCACCAATGCCTATGCCTAAGGCCTTGTCTTGTCAGATTTCATCGGTTGGGGGAGTTTTGAGCTTTGGGAGGGTGCTGGGTGAACTGCGAAATCGCACCAGATGCAAGGTGCCAACATCTTGGCCACGTGCCTCGGCTGCATTGGCTCACAAAGGGCCGGGGGGGGGCTTGTGCTGGCGGTGGTCAAGCTGACGTGTAAAGTTATGTTTGGCTTTATGCCGGCGCTCCGCCAGAATATAGGGGTGATAAAAAGTTCTATTGTTGAACAGCCAGTGCACAGGAGGTAATTGTGATAGTATTCATGAATACATATGAATACATTTGGAACACTAAGCATGCAACTTGGCAACACATCACCGCTTGTATGTTCTTGGAAGCTGGTTTGCGTGCCCTCGCCACCGCAGGTTGGGAGATATCGCAACTCGGCACAATCGGAGAAATTGAGAACCCGAGGGGATGGGCCGCAGAACCCGCCAAAAGGACCTATACCCTCCCCGGAAGTCCATAGCACATCCGAACACGTCACAAAGCTGCTGTGTTACTTTTCCAGAATGCTGCTGTGCTGGCTTGGGGTGGAACATGGCGGTGTAGCCAAAAAAGGAAGCGTCGTCTACTGATGGACTGACATGATTCCCAGACACTCCATGTCTGTCATATATGCCTACATTGACCCCCCAAACCACCCCAACTGATCGGCATATATGGCACTCCCATGGAGTGTCTGGGATTTGTTGCTTCCATCTACTGTATTTGTTCTTTTCATCGTTGATCGAGGCCATGCAGGCGGGGAACACCATCTCGGCCATCAACGCCTTCAGTGCTGTCTTCAATGTGGCCTTGACCCTGCGACTGGGTGGAGAGAATTTGCTGCTGAAAAGGGTGGACTCCTAACGTTGAGAATCAGTGATGAATCAACTTATGATATGGGTCGACTGGGCACGTCCTTTCTTTACATGTCAATGTCATGTATTAAAACATCATTTAGCTACAAGTAGCAGCATAGTGTTATTCCGATATTCCTACTTGCAGAATGTACTTCAAGACGGGATTCGATTCGCAGGGGCACATAATTGTGGTCAGAGTTTTTTGATGGACCACCCTCAGTCCAAAGGCTCCAGCAATTCACCAGGAAAGGCATTCACATGTTAAATCCTACATGTTTTGAATGCATGCTGGTTGTGCAGCATAATGCCACCGTAGGATTAATCAACCCCCGTCCCCTTCAAGCGGTCAACAAGGTTTGAGATTGGAGGTATTGGAGACCACATCCTCCTAATAAAATAAAGGTGATGACCTCCCTTTGTGAGCTTGAACACGTTAAGATGTTGATATCGTTTTAATAAGGTAAAATGACAAACTTTTGCCAGAGAGGGCTTTTAGGGATTGTGGAACAAAGATTATTGCCGGGAAGAACATTGGCAGCTTAGATTGGAGTTTTAAACAATATACCAAACCATATTTTTCCGGGGGCACATGGGCTTGATTAATAGGGGAGGTTATTATTAGGATGATGCCAATGTGGAAATTTAGGTTTCTAATTAGTTTAGTATTGGGACTCGAACTGGGCTTGGGAGGTTATTTAATCCTATAGGTACGCCTGACCCAAAAAATCTCTACCCTCTAGACGTGTTGCGCAGAATCGAAAGGATCATTGGCCGAAAGGAGGAGGTTTGGCTTGAACCTGAGGTTAGCAGAGACTTACACTGCTCGGAACCTGGACTACCAGGCCGGGAAGAAGCAAGCCGGGAGGATGGGTGTGGAGGATAAGCAGCTAACGTGGGGCTAAGTTGACCCTTCCAAACCCTGCACCTAAAAGTGTGGCTTTGAGATCAAATCAACTTCACTTGCTCCTGCGAATGGTATATCAAATCACTTCATGTAGTATGATATCAAACCAACTGCTAGCTGCTTGGTCACTTGTTCCTGCGAAGTTTCGTTTCACCAGGACGTCTCGGGTTCGCCCCTGTCCGAGTGGAGCCAAGCGGGACTGGTGCTGGGCGTCGTGATGCCGCTACTGGGCGGAGGAGTTTTCTAGGGAGAATGATGTATATCCCGGACACTCCATATACACTCCTTGAAACAATCATGGAAGTGGAACATAGGCTCAGCTGTACAGTCCCACGCTGCTTGGCTCAGCTTGTTGGGTCACCTAGGAAAAGCCCAACTAATGCGTATCCCGTGGGTCTGTCCGAACTTAACCTGTAGCAGTCAGTAAGCAAGAACATCACATTTTTCTACAACCTAGCCATCATCATCCACTGTTGCAGGTAATAGGATAGAGCCAATATATACCAGACACTCCATGTACACTCCCTGAAACAATTATATACTGTATGGAAGTGGAGCATAGGCCCCTGGAAGACCAATTGTCCTCTACAAGGGGGGTTTTCTCAGCTTCCATGATTGTTTGAGGGAGGGTATGCCATATATTATATGCCGATCAGTCGGGGTGGTTTGGGGATTCAATGGGACAGCATATATATTCCAGTCCCATGGAGTGTTTGGAATATATATACAGAAACACACCAAAGACATAAATTGGATGAGATATCATAGATTACATACTGGAACGCTCCTTTTGTTTTATAGGATCTATGTGGCTGGATTTATCGTGGATATGATATGGACACTGGATCGTCGTTTTTTGTTTGTTTTTTTCTCGATGTGGGTGGCAGAAGAAGAAGAAGAAGGCGCCAGCGCCACCCATTGCAAACGATTCTTTCTTCGGGTCCAGAAGACCATCAAGAGGATTCTCAAAGATGACGGATGAAATACAGTACTTTTACTGTAGATGTCGGATGGGCATGTTGAATAGAAGACAAATGGAGGATTCATGCCAGGAAACCCACCCTTGAGTGGATCACTGCAACTGAGGGCTTTGTATTGGGCGATTCGTTTCCTAGACCCGACTTGCCATCTTTCCGGGGCCATGAGAAAAAGCACGACATGCGTGTGCTGCGGCATGAAAACCGTGTGCAGTCGAGGTTCCTTTTCACCGGAGAAACTACAGTGAGCTGTCAGGGCCTCGCTTTCATGAGATCAGCTTTTGGTACACAGGACTTGGCACGCGGAAAACGATGGACCCTCCAAGATCCCTCAAGTAGAGCGACAAGTATAGTTCGACCCAACTCCGCGACTTGTGGAGAATATGGGAAATTCCTTGGTCTAGTTGCTGAGTTACTTGAAGAACATCCATGGGCCTACTTGGTGGAGAACTGAGTTGCGCCTCCGAGGCCTCGAGACCTCCAAAGCCTTCATGCGCTTCTGCAAGGCCAACGGAAGAAGTGCAAATCCACCGATGCCAGTGGGTTTGGGGAGGGGCCTGTAGTACTGTACCAAGCTATATCCCTGAAGAAGAAGAAGTCAGGATCCAATAACTCGCTAGATTTACTGTAGGAGATGAGGCCAGGCTTTTCTGGCTGATGTTTGGCACAGCTGAAGCCAGAGCAAGTCAAAGCATCCAATTTGTAGGCTTTGTGGTCCACAGGTGGAGGGAGTCATGAACAGGGCATGAAGTTGGGCCGCAAGTGCGTCGCGCGGAAAAGGGGCACGACCGAACGGACCACTTGGCGGGGTCCATTGTTTTGTCAGTCTTACAACATACCCAGACACTCAATGTATGCCATATATGCCTACATTGACCCCCAAAACCACCCCAATGTAGGCATGATATGGCATACATGGAGTGTTTGGGATATTTTCTCAATCAACCTTTTGAGATGCATTATAGTCGAGAGAGTTTTGTCGGTAGACGTGCGTTGGTCAAAAAGAGAAATCTTCTTCCGTGATTATTTGCATTCAGTTCTTGCGCTGTGTAATCAATTTCAATTTCTTCGATACGCGTTTCTGGAGAAACCTCCAACCAATCTATCTCGGTGCCGGGGTTTTCCTGGCGCGCACGTGAGTCAATCGACCGTCTCGAACCGACCGGTGAACCGGGACGGCGGGTGAACCGGTCTCACCGGTCTCGAGGAGTCGGACACCGTGGGGAAGATCTCCCAGGTGCCCTTTCCGCAGTCACACCTCCGAGGACGGAGCCTGTCACCCAAAGCTACGGAGCCAGTGAGAGCGTGCTCGGTGGAGAGCGGTCGGACAGATCGATCCGGGACGCCTCGATAGATAGACCGTTCAAGGTCTTGGGTTGATGTGCTGGTAGATGCGCCGAATGGGCATCCAATAGCGGAGCTTCTCCTCCACTTGGGTTGTTGCTTTGGAAGAAGAGCGAATGCATGGGAAGGTCAGCGGTTGGCGAAGCAACCGCAGGTCTTGTCCATCGGAACCCTTGGATGTTCATGAAGCAATTATTGCCTCAACATACTAATTAATATATACGCATATACTACTTGTAGAACCTAACAGATCTACAACATCCAATATATAATATATATATATAACAGAAAATCCACTGCCCTTCACCGGATTCCCCCCCAAACTCCCTCCCGTCGCAACTTCCTTTCTGTTGGGTTCGTGTCGTTGGACGTTTGCGGCGGCGCCTCGGCGACCGACCACCGAAGGAGTGCGAATCCTCTCGTCCTTCGGCACGATCACCTCCATGCGTCGCTCGGATCCGGGATCGGTCTGAGATCGGGGATGTCCTCCACACGAGTGCCGGTAACGACCGCAGAATGGTCATATATCCCGGACACTCCATGGGACTGGCATAGAATGCCGATCAGTTGGGGTGGTTTGGGAGGTCAATGTAGGCATGTATGCCAGTCCCATGGAGCGTTTGGGTATGGGGTGTCGGAGTCCTCAGGTGGTCTTTTTGGGGACAGGTTTCTTTTTGTTGATTCGGCCGGAGACTGTGTGTTTCTTTCTTTGAATTACCAACTTTCAAAATCATAACAACCTATTACATTCAGAGCTTGGCAGCCAAGCTGTCTAATGGCGTTGAATCATTATAATCCGTCTTGCTTGCGGAATCACAATCGACACTTCCATATGAGCAGTATAAGCATTTCTGGAAACAGCTTCAAATTGCGCTGAACAAGAACAGACCACTAGACTTGTTCCAATCCCACATGTGACGAATTATAAGATGCTTAAGTTTGCTACTGCTACTGTACTTCTCCACGCCTTACCACGAAAAAAGGTCTCGTTCGTGCAGTTTGGTTTCACCGTCGTTTTATGAGGTATAGAGTAGTCTTATTTTCTGTGCAGTGGCTTACATATAAAGGTCGTTGGAAGCGCTCAGACAGAGTCACAAGTACTGTTGGTGGGTCAACCAAGGTCCAAGGTGTCCTGGTTTTCACCCACAGCTGAATGAGGGAAACTATACCCTCTTTGAAACAATCTTTAAAATCGACAAGAGGCCCTTGGAAGACCATTCTCCTCTACAAAACAGGGCTTCGTCCACTGTTTGTTGCAGGGAGGGTGAACTCATGTTGAAGAATCACCCCGCCGGTGCCTAGCTGGATGGTCAGTCATCTCTATAATTTGGGGGTTGCCTGCCTAGCGTCCACACCTGCAGCACGGGTGTTGGTGACTTGTCGTTCATTTTGCTATAATATTATGCTATATTTGCAACCTCGTGATTGTTTTCTTTGGTCGGAGAAAAAAGCACTCTGAGGAAGTTCCAGGTATAGGATGGTATAGGGATCATTTTGCATTGACCACTGTTCGGATCCTTTGGGACATGTTGTTGGGCATCATTCTTGCGGCAGCGTCTCGCAAGACGAGTTCAGGACCACAAACTGGACGCAAATCAGCTTCTGGTACAGCTAGAGGATGCTAGAGGTCTTGCGGTGACACGTGTTCTGTCACCTTTTGCCCCCAGATTAGCCGCCAGTTGGTAGGGAGTTGAACTGTCAGCATCCTGGTAGCCTCAATTCTTCTTCACCCGTCTCGACCAACAGTTCTTGCCGAGGCCTAGTGTTCAGCCCTATCATTCACTCGCGCTTGGTCGGCAGAGCAGTGTGGGATGACGTGGGGTCTGGCGCTTTTCGTCGGAGAGTGTCAACCCTGTCGTTGCAATTCCTTGAGATTTGTCGGGTCCAACGATCTGGTATATATAATAGACAAATTATGGTTCCCCAAAGCAAGCACCGTTTCAGGGAGTCATTGGCTACATTGCGACCCCAGAGAGTAAACCAAAGAACCAACAGCGGCTTGTCCCGCACTGAGGATGATTTGCCCTTTGCTGGGCGGCTTCTTCTTGGGGACACGGGGCTTGATTTGGCTGCTTTCGGGCATGAATGTTTTGGTCAGAGGCTGAGCAGTGTGCCGCTTTATGCTGTCATCATGTTCACTTTGGATATGACTTTGCGAGGAGATTATATACAATTTGCATGAGTTTGCGCATGCTATGTATTTCAGAGCATTCCGCTGAGTTTGCGGTCTTTCTCCGGATCAAAGCCCCAGCAGGTCGACCAGGAATCACCAATCACAAAGCCACACATCACTAAGGGTGTTTGCCTGAGCCTCTTCCTCATCAACTCCGGTCAGAGCTGGGTCTCGGCGCGGAAGTATGTTCTCTTTGGACGCCTCAAGGACCGTAGAGTCACCGGACCACTGAGCGGGGACCCAGACCAAACCGTTTGTCGATGAAGTTCCGCAACTCATTGCGCAGGACCCGCCAAGGTGAACCAAAAGCCCACCTCTTGAGCCAGGGGCGAACAGACTTCGACACTCCAAACGGAAAAACCCTTTTTGCGGAAAAACCATGGACGACACCTGACGACACCTCAAACAGAAAATGAGAGCTCCACCAGTGGTTACCACGGGACCTGCCCTGCCAGGACGCTGAGGGCGAGGCTGTGGGCCCTGACTCGGCGCAGTACGGGCACCTGGGGGTTGGCGTGGAGGCCCAGCAAAACCGCTTAGTGCGGGGATGCTCGTTGAGGCGGCGAACGTCCCATGAGGAGAATTATGGTTTTCGTATGGTTTTTCGTTGTCCTGGTTTTGCGTATCAATTCAAAGGTGCTGTTGAAGTTGGGTAAAATCCCCTTCTGTGGAAGCGTTTCTTTTTTTTAATCGTAGTTCCTTATATTGTCTAACTTAATCATCACTGTTGGTGGACAATCTTTTTGAATTTTTTGAAGCATCTCTTTGGTTGAGAAGTTTGCTTGTCAGAATGCATGCAAGTCCCTGGTGACACGGTACAACAAGTCCTGCAGATTGAAGCTTACTCAACATAGAAGAAATGTCCATGGCTCACCCTGGTTCACCTCATCATGCCTTATCCCAACCTGACGAGGTGAGATGATTGGTGGGCCGTTGGAAGACGTGAGTGGTCCAGCTCTCAACAACTTTGTGAAGCCACTTGGGCTGCGAGAAGGACATGCAGGACATCTGAGAAGCTGGCTTCATGTGACAAGCGGACCATTCGTGATACTCCCAGATGGAAGGATACTTTCCATGCACATGCTTCGTGGCACGTGAGGTTTCGAACTGCGCCCCCAAACTTGAATGGCGGTATTGCAAATGAATCTACAAAAGATGGGCGGGAAGATGTATACTTGGAAGCCCTACTTTCCTGGCCAGCATCGGTACAAGAGGCCTCCGAAACGTGGGGTGTTATTAATTCGCGGCATCTATATATTGCATGCCGCATGCTAGGCATTTAGAGTTTTTTAAGAGCACTGATTACAGCATATTGCATATTCTGACTATGGAGAGACTTTTTTTCTAGGATTTGTGCTGCGTTTAGGAATATGTTTGTTGGATTTGCTTTTCCTTTGCTTTTCATTGCTTCTCTATGATTTCTCCTGCTTGTGCTTTCCTTGCTTTCCATTGCTTCTTTGCGGTAGCTCCTGCTTTTATGCTGTTCTTGCTTTTTCCTGCTTCTTTTGCGCTTGTCTTTTACTTCCTTGCAATTCGCCGGATTTTCTGTACTTTCCTGCTCCTTTGCGGCATAGAGTTTCCCTGTTTTAACTTGTTTTTATGTTGCTTTTGCTTTTCTATGGCTTTTGTTGCCCTTGCTTTATATATTATATTACTGTAGTTGCTGTATTCCTGCTTTTCTGGCTTATATACTTTTCCTATACTCTTGTTGTTTGTTTTCTGCTCTACTGGCTGTTGTTTTGTTTCACAGCAGAACTCTTTCATTCTTTACCCCTTTCTCGACTATGATGCACTTGTCTCAATCTTGTTCGCCCTGCGGCCGTGGTCCAGTCGGTGAGCATTTGTTGCACGCAGGCCCTAGACGCCCTCAATTAATCATGAACATGGACAATGACCTCCTGGACACTATACTACTTCTGCAAACACCTAGCGTTTTATTTCCACTGGAGGAACTACTGTAGAGAAACCGCGACCGCACAGCAAATTCACCAAACACAACGCAACAATATCACTAAATAAAGCCGCACCCTTTGACTAGTGAGATGCCAAACACGATGCAAATATGGTCTCCACCTATTTGCTTCCTGTGCCACAGCCCAGGTTAGTCGCGGTCTTCGCTTTCATTACCAGTAGCCACTGAGCTGCACAGTTTCAGGGTGGCTTTTGCACGGATCCCACCCTTAATGGCACAGGTGGACGTGTGGGGTGATGCATGGTGGTGCACATGTTCTGCGGTTCGGCCTGCTTTTTGGGGGGCGAGATTCTGTGCATTTGAAGGATGCAAGCATGATCAGCCCCATCATTGGACTTCAGCACCTCTCTTGCGAATGCTCAGGGTAGGCTTCGGGCGGGTCACAAGGTAGCTTGGTCACACCTCCGGTCGCAGGGATCTCCGAGCTGAAGATGCACAGAGGTGCCATACTACCAGGACCTTCCGTAAGAGGTGTCTATAGTTTTAGCCTTTTAGAGGTGATTCGGGGTGTCCAAAAACCACCTGTTAGAAGGTCCTGGTATGTCCTGGTATAGACGTTCATGTTTGGAAAATCACGAAAGGTAGCGGTTACGCTACCTGAGTTTTCCTTTTGCTTTAGCAAAAATATATTAACCCAGAGCTGCAGCCTATCTCTCGGAGAAATGGTCCCCGACATCTTCGTTTGCTGGCCGGGGGGGGGGGGCCCCCCCCCCCCCTTTCAACTCCACCCTAGCGCGCCTCGGGGTCAACCGTTCGAAAACACTGTAAATATCAGTGTTTTCAGCTCTTCCAGTCCTCAGCAGTGACCAAACATCATGGAATTTACAGCGTTTTTTGTGGCTGTCCGGCAAAAAAACACCGCAAAAACCGATGGTTTTTGATGCGTCTCGGTTAGAAAAGTGACCGAAAAAAGACCAAAAACCAGGAAAGATTTTGTCAGAAAGGGTTTTTGAGGCTTTTGGAGGCTTCAAAATTGCACAAAGCTATGGTATTTACAGGGTTTTGTGCACCTTCCCGGCAGAAAACGCCGGTATTTACACGGTTTTCTGCGCTTTTCCAGCGCTCAACCGTGGTGCGCCTTTGGATCGACGGCTACAAAATACCGTAAATACCAGTGTTTTCAGCTCCTCCTGTCTTCAAGCGTGGCCTTAGACCTTGCCGCGGCTGTGGATCGACGGCAACGAAACCTCGTAAATACCAGTGTTTTTGAGCACGTCCTGTTTGCAAGCATGGCCTGCGGCCACGCAATTTACAGGGTCGCCGCACGTCACTATGTAAATCCGAAGTTGCATTTGAGAAATATGTGACTCCTTTTGAAGGCACGTCAACCTGTATTGAAACCGCTAGACCGCTACAGCTTCTGGAGGTTTTGTCAAGCGTTTGTGCACTAGTCTTTCTTTCATCACGCTCACTCACTTCTCTTCAAACAAGTGGGGGGCCTCTCACCTCCTCCCGGATTACGCCTGATTCCCTGCTACCTTTCGTTCACCCCCCTCCTCTCTCAAGTCATTGGAGGTGTGCACGCAAGGCATGTCTTCAGAGGTTGACTGTCACCAGCCAGCTTCAAAGCAGCTCAGGTCTATATGCTCTTTGGCTGCAATCTGTAGTTCTTGTGGATGCTGCAGAGGGTGTGGACTAGAATCTGTTAAACATCCGGAGTTGGCAAGACAGTTGGTCAAAAGGACATTTGAAGATTGGTTGTATTTGCTTCATGACCTCCAAATAGCGAGAAATGTAGATCCCGCTGAGAATGTATTGGAAAACGATTCTGTCTAGGTGGGGACCACTAGGAGGCTATATAGGTGATTTCGAGGTCTGTAGGGAGTCGCAAACATCACCCAAGAGTTGTTTGTGTTGCCCTCTCGAAGTGGCTTCGAGCCGGGTTTCGGGAAGCCCCGTGGCCGACGGAAATAACACATGGGCTGCCGACACTGGCCGATGCCGGAATAGGGCCCTTGGATCGATGTGGCCGATGTCCACTTCACGACCCGCCTGACTGAGGAGGAGGATCCTGAAACGTGGGAACCTCAGGAGGCGAAAAGTCACGTGGGAACCACGTGACATGTAGGGTGTGTTCAAGAACAGTCGGTAAAAGATTTATTTGAGAAAGGCCTTTGTTCATCGTCCGCTGTGACTGGTAGTACCCGTTGAGCTGACTAGATGTTTGTGGGTAGAATACGTACCCTGATAAGGCTTTCCAGCGGAAAACATCCACTGTGATGATCTGTGATGTAAGATGATGACCCAGTAGCGTCCTTGCTCCTAGTAGCGATGCCGGGAATCCGTAGTAGCTTCTTGCTCCTAGTAGTAAGACCCAAATCACAGGAGTTTTCGTCCCAAAGACGATGTTGAAAACGCCAAGCCACAAAGCCCAATTGGGAGACTCGGGTCTTCCTGGGTCAAACACTCGACCCAACGGTCGAACTCGGAGGTCGATCACATCGACTCGAGTGGTGGATGAAACCAATCGATCCAAGAGGATCCAAGGCTCAGACCATGTCAGACCCTATAGGATCCTATAGGCAGATCTCACAGGGCTCGCAAGATTATTGTTCATGAACTGCCACTAAATAGATGCGTTAGAATCTTTTCGCACAGCCAGCCCACAGCATGCACCCAAGAAAGGGCGACTTGTATATGTGCTTTGGGAGGTGTTCACCTCCAGCCTCCAGCCACTACTTTTGGATTTGCTGCACTAACATAGACACACTTCCACTGGCATCGACCCCCCCTGCTCAAACTCTTCAAAAATCTTGATAAACCTCTCAAATGTCACGCCTTGTTCCAGCCCAAATCCTGGCAATGTCATTGCATCCCGTCGCATCAGCGAGCCGAGGACCTGGGCCTTTGGCCTCATCGCCTTGTTCGGTTCCTTTATACTCTTGGCGTTGGCCAGGCGCTTTTGACGGGTGGAAGTGGACAATCGATTCTAGTGAACAAACATAAGGCCCCCACCCAAGTGCTTTCTCTTGAGTATGTTTTTGTTCATGTTCACTTCCAATGTGAGTGGACAACGGGCTTGCCACATCCGGATTCAGGAGTCAAGTTCGCCCTAGTTCGTCCATGCTTCGAAGACTGGTATTGGTTTATGAGGATTGCTTTGAGAAAGGGGTCTTTTGTGGGTCCATTTTGCACTTCCATGATACGTGGAGGGAGGGTAGATAGAAAGCAAATTTGCTTGATATTTCTCAAGCAGAGCTTTTCCAGTAGACAAAAGTCATAAGTCATATGTGAATCATTCATTGGTACGTGTAGTAGAATCTACCACAACAAGCACCATATGATTTGGTGGAACATCTTATCTTTGGGTCAACCAGACACCTTTCCTAGCGGAGCCAGGTGCATTCTCTCATGCATTCTCGACTGCCTCACCAAGTACATGGAGAAACGTTGGGTTCTCAGCTCGAGCGATGTTGGGGCGCTCGCTGCTCCCCCTCTGTGGATTCGGAGATTTGATGGGGGAGATTCGTAGCTCCAAGATGGGTGGCGGCTCTGTGGATGAAGAACCAGGAGTTCCAACATTGTGTGTTTTAGTCCGATAGGCACCCCAACATGGATCTGCTGAAAGTACTGGAAAGCATTTTGCAGATCACCTGGAACGAGCCTGGAAGTCTCCAAGACATTGTACATCATGAGGTGTTCCAGACGCGTGTAGAATGGCCATTTCCTTCCAGCAGTGGAAGCATTGATGGGATAGACAAGCAGGCGAGCGGCAGAAGTTAGACAAGCAGCAGGACACCCAGTGAACGGAAGAAGGAGCTTGAGCAGGTGGAGTGCAGCTTGATGCTGGGAGTTATGGTCCGATCAAATCCAGGATGACCTGTGTTGGAAGCTGCACTCCACGTTGTTGTGTCCTGAAGCCACATGAGAAGAAGGAGAACGCCAGTTCGACTAGAATTGTTTTGAGTGCAATATCATGTTTTTTCTTTTTGGGTACTTTGGAGAATAGAAAGGCAGGGAGAGAGAGTGACAGGAGCAAGCAGAGAGTGAGAAAGAAGAGCATGTGCTAGTAGCCCGCGCATGGAATTGTCATTGAGGCGTGCAAAGGAGGAAGAGGAGCAGCAGCGTTGCATGGTCAGCATTTGGAACGTAATGGTAGAGTTGGAAGGATTTGATTCTGGAACGGAACATGTTTATTTTGTTTGCGTTGTGTTTGGACTTGCTCATGTTGACTCTACTGGGATTGCGTGTGTTGTGTTGAGTTGTTCCTCCATATTCGGCCAGTCTAGAGTCGGCTGTTGGAAGTCTCAAGGGAAGTATATAAGTTCTGCTAGGACAGGGCAGAGGAGACTCAACAGGTTCTAGTTTCAAACAAAGAGTGTGCTAGGCAGGGCTAGGCATATTACCGTCAGACTTCAAACCCCGATCACCACCGTATGATAACAGACGCCACCAAAGTACCAACAGAACCGAACAGAACACAACAAAACTGACGCAGCGATGATGATGACCCCATCCGAAGGCCATCATGTTGTGAAACTTTGCCCAACCCAACACCCAGACCACGGAAGAAGATGACAAAACTGTGTGAAGTTTGAACATGTAATCGGAGATGTGTACGATTTGGTACTATTGGGAGTGACTGGTTCCAAAGCAATAATTTACTGCCGCCCGCGCTGTCATTGATAGGAGGTGGTCCACTTGGCGCTTATAGTTTTTCTAGCTGCTAACAAACCGAAGGACTTGTGGTGATTGATTGAAAAGCGAACGCCAAAAGTTCTGAGAATACAAAAAGTCAATCAAAGTCACAAGGTCACTAACACCATTAGAACAGTTTCAAGGGTCAAACATGAAGAACCACAAACAAACAAAGGAGTAGGAGAGGGAAAGGAGCCTAAAATGGTAGAAGCGAGGAGAAGGAATGAGGAAAAGAACAGTAAGAGTCTCAACAACAAAGTCAGAGCAGCACATGTTGAGAAAGACAAAAGCACGCGCGGGAAAGAACACAAGAAGGACAATCAATGAATTGGATTTGGCATGTGACAAGGAGAAGGAACATGGAAAAGAACAATATTAGAAAGTGATGGTGGATCTGACGTGATATGGGGTCATAAAATACTGACACGTTTTCCACAGCAGCTGCTTGCGGTGCTGCAGCTTTCTGTCCAGCAAAGCCCGTCGCAGTCCAAGTCGGTGACCGCGGACCGCTGGTTTGAAGAAGTGGTTGACCCTCCAAATCATTCACAGGTCCCAGACACAATGCTACAGTACGGGGTTCGTTTGACCAGAGTGAGGGTGTTCTTTGGAACCAAGGGCTGCAAGAAGAGGAGGACGAGGAGGATCGGGACGCGCACGCGCGGAGGTCATCCGGTCCCATGAGCGGGTCCTTCATAACTGCGGACGCCGGTGACTGGGACGCGGTGACTCAACAACATGGAACAGGAACATGGACGCCTCTCTGGAGTATATCAAGAAACCAGAGTTTGGCATGAAGTTGACCGGATTCCTGAAACCCTAGACTTTGCTGGACCCTCACTTTGTCAGACGTCACACAATTCCAGGAGGCCAAACTAATTCTTTGATTGGTTTCTTCAGCATTTGGATTCAGGTTGAGGTTTTTTCCCGTCCGTCCTAGACAAAGAGCACTACAAAGCAAAGCAACGATGGAATGCAAAAAAACACCAACAGGCCTGTTGGGACACACACTCTGACATTGGTTTTCAGTTAGTTCAATTCCCACGTCGAGAAGGAAGGTGAAGGAACGAAAAGGCGCATGAGTCAGCAAGAACAGTATGGTTGAACATTGTTTCCAAGTGGCCTCGAAATCGATCTGCACAGTCGACGCGGTGACGAGCACAGCTGCAGGAAAGTGGGTTTAGGGGGAGAAACGTGGAAGGACCATGAAACAAACCGATCAAATTGGACAGCGTGGTCAACAGTTGTTCAGCAGGTACGTGGATTCTGCATCCAGAATCCATATCAGTGACTCAAACCAGCCTCTTCGTTGGACTGCCGCTGTTAAGAGTCGGAACCCTTAGGTACAGGGGTTGACACACACACGGCGCCGCTTTGCGGCGCTCGTGCGAACGACCTGAATAGGCACCTAAAAAGCCTTAGAAACAAAAGAAAGAAACACAGAAAGAGCAGCGCTAAGAGGGCAAGAGAGAAAGAGTGTAGAAAAAAGGTGAATACTTAGCCCTTGACTGGGCCAGGGAAACGAGCCTCAAGAACAACCTAAAAAGCCTGAGAGAAAGCCCAAGAAACAACCGAAAGCGTAAGAAAGAAAGGGGGGGCAGGGAGGGGTGTATGTAGCATGTGTGTGTCCGTGTGTGTGTATGACTACTTAGCACTCTAGAGTTACTGACTACTTAGCCGAGGCGAATTAAATGCAATAGTTAGGGAGCGGGACTTTAGTCTTAGACCGCCCGGGTAGAGAAGACTAGAACAGGAACAACAAAGGGAAAGGCACCGACACACAAGTGTGTCGAGTACAATTTCCCTGTGTTGCCCTAAATAGGTGGGGAGTAGAACTCGGTGGGGGGGGGTTGGGAGACCTGCCTCAAGTGGGTTGAATTCCGTTTTTTAGCCCGGCGGCTGTGGTATCCATGAAAGCCCGGCGGCTCTAGATTCCGACAATTCAGTAGTGAGACAAAGGCAGTAGTTAAGGTGATTCACGATGAAAAACGATGAATCTGTTAGACGATTTCCGGCATGAGAACGGCGCCTCCTTGCAGAGGATCACACCGAGCACCCAAGTGGGACGGCTGAGCGGTTCACACTCTGACATTGGTTTTCAGTTAGTTCAATTCCCACGTCGAGAAGGAAGGTGAAGGAACGAAAAGGCGCATGAGTCAGCAAGAACAGTATGGTTGAACATTGTTTCCAAGTGGCCTCGAAATCGATCTGCACAGTCGGCGCGGTGACGAGCACAGCTGCAGGCTGCAGGAAAGTGGGTTTAGGGGGAGAAACGTGGAAGGACCATGAAACAAACCGATCAAATTGGACAGCGTGGTCAACAGTTGTCCAGCAGGTACGTGGATTCTGCGTCCAGAATCCATATCAGTGACTCAAACCAGCCTCTTCGTTGGACTGCCGCTGTTAAGAGTCAGGCAGTCCCCCTGCTTGGAAACATCGGAACCCTTAGGTACAGGGGTTGACACACACACACACACACATCAACACTCATCGTTCTCCATTTATATGGGCACCCCTTTGAAGGTCCCTTATCATGCGTTCGTGGATGTTCTGAGGAGCTGGGCTAAGCAGCTGGCCTTCATCTTGCGGCTCCGAGACGATCGGAGCGAAGCAACGTTGTACAAAGCGAGAGCCGGGGCCACGACACGACCACGTTGTCGTGGCACTGGGGCCGTCTGTGTCTCCGAGCAGATTTGGCGGAAGGGATGCGACCGAAGTCCACCAGCAATTGATATACCGAACTTGCAGATGGTGCAGTCAGTGGACACGGATTCCAATCGTTGGCTCGGATGGATCAGCCGGAGAACGGAAGCCAGGGCCAAGATGGCAAGAAGCCAGGGCCCAGCGAAACAAATGGAAAAACATGTGCCACCATTGAATTGGGACCATCCGTCCATTCAGGCTTGGGAAAGGGATAAACCTGAAGAGTTTAGCTGCAACACCTCCTGGAAGCGTGGGATTTGTCGGGTTTTGAGATGTTCTGAGTGTTTTTGGGACTCGCCAAGATCCTGAGAAACAAGACTATAGACTAGCTTCGCTGCCCCCGAAGAGAGCGCCACTGGACGTCGTTTTGTTCGACCATCGCGAGAGGCCTTATTGCCCAAGCAGCCCAGTGAGACAGAGCACGATGAAAAGGATGAGGAGGCTCAGGAGCCATGCGTAGCGATGGATAGCCATTGGGGTGTTCAATAGGGTGGTGACCCCCAGCCGGATCCCCCTGGAAGTTGCAAAATCACTGGTTGCGAGGGGTTCACACACCCGCACAGGTGCAGGCACACACCACATGGTATAGTTCAATGCACCATTCCTGTATAATTAAAAGAGTGTTATTCAGTTCCTGCCTTTTTCAGGCGTGGACCACGAGGGTGAACCTTCATCTAAAAACCGGTGGAGATAGGAACTCAAACAGTGGGTTCAAAACCTGGAACTCAAAACCCCGGAGTTGGTGAACAAAACCCCGGTGGTCTTGTTCATGTTCATGCTTCGGTGGCCTTCCAAAAATATTAAAGCAGGGTCCAAGACGACACGAGAGACAGTCTGGTCTCGGTGAGAGAATAAGCGGCCAGGAGCTGGTCAACCCGGCACAGTACTACATCCAGCAGAGAGCTCAGATGAGCTCAGATTCTCGAGCAGGTAACCTTTCGTCAAAGAGGACTTTACCACTTCGGATCCTCAATTTCCAGTCTTGCATGGACCTATATTAGACATAAAAACACGGATGACATCGGATCACTTCGTGAACCTTCCAGACAGCAGTCGGCCTCCGACTTCGTCGAACCCCTTTTGGCGGCTCCCACCGAGCCGGAGCCGACGTCTGCAGACCTCAGCAGACCGTCCGTCCGTGTGGGGATCCCGAGGCCCCGGAGCCGACTGCTGTATGACATTAGCTATGAACGCAGCATGCCTGAGCCGCACGGGGGTCTCAGTGGGTCATCGCACGGTGTTCGAATCGAATCGGTTCCGGTTCGGGTTCGATGTGGTGTTCACCGGGGGGTGGAGAGGCATCCGGATCGATGTTGTTTGAAGACCATCTTTGGAGCGGACGGATCCAACGAAGAGCAGGGGATGTGTGTTGAATGTTTGGGATCCATCTTGATCCTATGTTCCTGGTTTCTGGCTCTTGGAGGGAGGAATCCTCAAGGAAGGGGGTTAAGACCAGTGACCAGTAGCATACCATGTTTACAGGCTGTTCCAGGCTGTTCCAGGCCGACAACTCTTTGACCGACAGGCCGACAACTCTAACCTACATGCTCTCGAGTTGTTGTTTACTTTGGCCTTGTGTTGGGTCCTGACTCAGGCTCAAGGGTCGTATTCTTTCAGTTCAAGACCGGAAGCACTCCTTGGGCACCACTCAGCGAACGGAAAGGAAGGCACCACTCAGTAGCAAACGCCATCGCTGACACAGTGCCCTCTGACGGCGCACGCGGCGTGCCGGTGCCCGTGCCGTCAGTGCCATGGGGCGGAAGCAGAAAGGGGTGAAGGAGGCAGAGGAAGGTGGAGAAGGCGGATTACAAGATGTCCGGAGCGCGTGGCTCGGCCACTTTTTGGTAGGCTGTTGGTTTTCCACTTCCACAACTGTTTGAGGAAGATTTATGGGTAGAGGCGTGCCAACAGACTGCCCCCAAGACACCAAGACAAACCGGGCAAATGAGATTGAAGGACATCAAAGTGCGGGAGATGTGGGGAGCTTAGTAACAAGAAGCTAGTGCATTGCTACTAGGAACAAGTGCATTACTACTAGTAGCATCTAGTAGCAAGAAGCTACTACTGTAGTAACAAGAAACCATTGGTTTGGGCGTTGTCCTTTTGGTATGGCCAGCGTGTTGGTGGGTGCAAGCAGATCGACCCGCACGAAGGGACGGTGGTTTGGAGAGGAACGCATATGCGTTAAGAAGGAGCTGACGTTTGGCCAGCCAAAGGTCAGGCACCTTGAGTTCTCAGCGGTATCACTCACCTTGATGTACTTGGCATCCGTGGTCGATGGAAAGCTCAGGTTTTCCCGCCTTCAGCAGATGATGGCCATGACCAATCCGGGCATGCACGGATGCCCGGTGAAACCAACCAGTCTCAAACAAGAAGACTTGGATTGCACCAGATAGGAAAGTATAGAACAGTCACTTGCAAAGGGGTTTTGACTCCTTTGACTTGACAGCACATTTGCTTTCCAATCAGCCATCCCTCAATTACTGGTGGTGCAGCAGCCACGTGAAACCAGGTGAAGCGTCAAACTTTGGTACAATCATGCAAAAAGCCTGCATAGGCTTCATAGGGATGGAAGCAACAGGCATGATGTTTGGAACCTAGGCATGAGGTCGGCATCAAGGGAGAACATGATCGCATTCGGTCGCATTGCGGTCGCATGTTACATGTTTTGCAGATCCGTGGCACGAGCTGAAATCAACTATGTTCTATCATTTTCCAACAGGTTTGCTGGCACTGGCACCATGCCACTGGCACCCGTCCGAAAAATGACCTGTTGGAAACACCCTTTTCCCCACATTGCTGGTGAACGGTTCACCTCCATCTTTCAGGTTTCCCATGCAGAACGCCAATCCCATGGCTGTGCGTTGGCCGCAGTGGAGTCGAAGTCAGTGGTGAAATTCTAGGCAACAAAAGTAACTTTGCACCAAAACCCCCAAGGGGTGGTTAATGGACACTCCTTAACAGCTAAGGGGCTATAAATAGACACCCCTTGGGGGGTCATGGTATAGCTGTAGGATCCGAAGTTTTGTCACCATTGTGGCCTGTTCAACCTATCAGGGGAAAGCTTTGTCATATGGGGATGAGTCAAAACCTGGAGCCCAGGAGCCAGGTTTGGCGTGGCCTGGCTGCGACCAAGGCTATGATGCCTAACCTGCCCAAGGCCATGATGCCTGGCATGCCAGGGATGGCTCCGATGCCTGCGTTGGGCGGTCCCGCTCCACCGGCACCCGCCTCGGAGAAGGGCGGCTCGATGGGGGAAGCAGGAGGAGAGCTGGGGGCTGGGGGCTCGGTGGATCGAACTTGATTTCAGACGCTCGGCCTGAAATCTGCAAGGAGACGCTTTCTTTCGTGGAAATCGTTCCGCTAAGGGGATCCACTTCTAGACTTCGAATTCCATGGGGGAATTTCCACTTGCATGCCCATAAGAAGTGGACATTCAATGGGGCCAGCGTTAGGTGGTGACCTACTCAGCCCCCCAGAGTAGGGCCGATGAAATTCACCACAGTTCGGATTTCATACGATGTCACGGTCTTCCGTTTGGGGCCTGGCGCCATCGCCATGATGATTCGAGGGAGTGTAGTAAATTCATCCAGTTTTCAGCATGTTTGTCATGTGGAACGAACGGCTGTAATCAAGTGGGTGACTGCATGACTTGACCACTCAGCTCTTGTTGTCTTCGAAGTCGGGCATCGCCCTGTCACGGGATAACATACCAACGTCTTCCAATTTTTTGTTTCAATGATGACCATCCCCCACTCCCCACCTTCCCCCCCCCCAAAAAAAAGACAACTCCTCCCCAACCATGCTTCTCTCCGCTTTCCCACCATTCTGGGGAAATTTCCGCGCAGGAGCCAAGAAGGAGTGGGTCATCAAGCCAGGTCTCAAGCCCGGTGATTGGACCTGTCCTCGTTGTGAGGCCAATGTCTATGCCTCCAAGTCGCTTGGACTCAGTCGGCGGTTCCGGTCAGGCGTCCGGAAGAGTCTGAACACACCCGGCGCTCGGGATGGAGCGACTCACTGACGAAGCACCAAGAATGCCAAAGATGTCCAATGTCCCACAAAAACTCGATGTGTTTAGCATCTTTGGAACATTGGACAGTAGTTGCTTTTGTGAGTCATTCTGTTTTCTGTGTTGAACACTGCGGCCAAACTGGTCAGGATTGCGGCACGGCACTCTGCAGTGGTTGCAGAGTAGATGGCACTGGCACCCCTACATGTCTTAGATCAGGTGGGGCTCCACTACTAAACCACCGACCTTGGGAGATGGTGCCATCTACTCCGAACCCACTGCAAAGGGCCGCCTTCGCGCCACCTGGCTGAATTCCCTGGCCAACCTTGACTACTCGCCGTCTCGAGGTTCAACTGCTGGAGATGTGGCGTCTCCAAGCGCGGGGAGAACGAGTCGGAGTATATTTCGGAACATGGCCGGATCCATCCAGACATTCAGGAGCTGTGTGACGCCTTCTATGCGTCCTGACCTCTTAAGTATGGTTTAAGTGGTTTAGTCCTCACGGTTGTCCAAGTGCTCAAACCTCCACAAGTGCTCTGACCCTTCCCCAGGTGCGTCGAGTCGTCGCCCTACACAACTGCCAGGCCACCATGATTCAGATCATTTGCCTAGTGTTCTCGTAGTACAAGGTTTAGGCCCATAGATTTGCTGTTTCCCATTGGCCCCTCACTTGTTGGATTTGTGTGCAACACAGTGGTCAACACTTTTGGGTAGTAGAAGGCAACAAGTAAAACTGCCCCGACACTCCACGGTGCAAGTTGCACCCAGGAGTTTTGCGCTAGTTCACTTGTCGGAGGGCGGTTTTCCAGGTTGAATGAAGCCTAGGGCTCCAAGGACCTTCTTAGAAGGTGGGACTGGGGTGGGTTTAGAGGGTCCAAATACCTTCTAAGGAGGTACGACTGGAGCTCTAGGGGAGTACCACCGCTGTGAACAGCACCTGGGTGGCCCATACGTGGTTGTTCCAGTGGCCCACACGGCTGGGCCTGCTGGACGACGGATCCTTCACCAACAAATGATACAAACCCAAACACTCCATGGGACTGCCATAGGACTGCCGATCAGTTGGGGTGGTGCCATGGGGGTCTGTCTGGGGCGGCAGTCCGTCCTGCCAGTCCGATGGGAAGTGTTTGGTGCTTTCAGATGATGCTCCACCTGATTTTGGAACCCACGGACTAAAATGAAGCAAGTGACGTTGACAGCACCCAACCAGACACAAACACTAACATGTTGCGAGTGTACAAACCTCTCAGACCTTGATAGATGGGAGTTTACCAAGTAAGGCCAGCCACCCGTGAGGATATTATGCTCCGAAATCCACTTATTGTGTTTTTGGATGCGCCTCTTTAACTCTGCGTGTGTTTTTGTTTGTTTGTGTTTTTCTTCAGATCTGTGCAGCTTCACTCGTGCCCCTGGTTTGACAGGGCTGTGGGCTGTCCCATCTTGAGGTTGAGCAGAGGCACATTGAGAAGCTTAACGAGCTCATGAAGATGCGGACAGACACTTGGGACGAGGACTTGAAGAAGTTGAGAGAGGCCGCGCAGATCCTTCCACCAAGACCCAGATCAGACAATACGAGCTGACGAGTTCAAAACTGTTTGGACTCCAACCCAAAATGAGAACAGTGCAAGCAAATAAGGCAGCAACAATCATCATGTTGGTTCATTTACCTTTGGAACACCTCCACTTGAAGGAGACCTACCGATTGAAAGAACAAACACTGTCCATTGCCACTGTTTTCTTGTTTTGAAGGTGATGGAAAAGGCACGCTCCCCCTGTGGAATGCTGGTGACCAAGATGAAGGAGATTGAAGATGGCACATTTGTGGCTGGGTTTGCACTGACTTGTTGTTGCATCACGAGCCAGTGCTGAGTTTACACGAGCTTGTTTCTTCAAAAAGCAGAGTCCTTTGTGCAAGAGGCCACGCTGCCGTTGTGCCAGGTCGCAGTAAACCGGGACAAGAGGATGAAGTACTTGGTGGATAAGTTCAAGCTAGACAAGACCGCGGAAACCAGCATCTCAGATATTCTTGCAAGATGCTCTAAGGAGAAGCAAGAAGAGTACTACTATGACTTAGAGAGACATTTCGAGTGCTCCGGCAAACCTTCTGCCACTGCTATGATGATCATGAAGAAGATGGCCAATGGGGAGCCTTTAGGCCCTCCAGGGCGTCCAGGTAAGGGCAGTTATCTGGAACGCATGCAGAACGAAGGCAAGGAAGGTGGCAAAGGCAATGAACGTGGCCGCGGGGATGACCGTGGCCGTGGGGATGACCGTGGCCGCGGGGATGACCGTGGCCGCGGCGATCGCAACGATCGGGGCGACCCGCGCCGCGACCGCGAGCGCTCCCCGCGTCGCGACGACCGCCGGGGCTACGACCGCCGCGACGACCGCCGGGATGGGCGTCGAGATGACCGGAGGGACGACCGGAGGGACGACCGGAGGGATGGCCGAGAGAGGCGGGAGGGCCGGGATGACCGGCGGAGGGATAGCCGGGATCGAGGACAGGGAGGAGGAGGAGGAGGAGGGGGAGAAAGAGGAGAAAGAGGAGAAAGAGGAGGAGGGGGTGCGAAGGTGAAGCCCAGGGATCCGGATCCCTTCATTCCTCAGCCTAAAGGATGCTTGTCTATGTTTGAGCTCAGTGTTGAGATTTCGTTCCCGTTGTTTGGTGAAATAAATGCATTTTGACATTTTCTATCATGTTTGCTGATGCCTTTTTGGTGCCCTAAACCTGGAGAATTCCATGTACTTCAAGCGTTACGTCACCTCGATATACTCTTTATATAAATATATAACTGGTTTGAGGGTATCAATGTTGAGGGGAAAAAAGAAACAACACATGCACACAATACATGGATGGATACGCATGGAGGTTCAACAATCTACAGCAACATTTTTGGGTGTTCGCTAACATTGATGCATCGCTCACTCCTCTCCAAGAATCAATTGCATCCTATGATAGATGTCTCATTGATACATCTATCATCCACGCCCCAGTGGCCGGCAACCTTTTGGACCATCCATCCAATTCATCCAACAAACCCTACCAGACGACGCACTCCCTTCCATCCCACCGTTCCCACCACCTTCCGGTCCATCGAGTCCATTCCCGTCCATCCGTCCATCCGCGACCGAGGCATGGAAGCGCCGGAGCACGGCGAGGGCTGCCCGGAGGCCGTTGGCCTTCACGGCAAGGCCGCCGCCGAGGCGTTGCAGTCGGGCGCCGAGCGCGTGCGCCGCGAGCTGCAGGCGGGCCGTGGTGGAACGGGTGTGGAGGGGCGGGTAGGAAAGGAGACATGGATGTTGAAGTGGCAATGTATATAATACAGCTGAAATATGCTGAAATGATATCTCATGTTCATGGCCAGATGGGTGGATTTTTATAACAGGTCCGCAACTCTTCGAAAGAAGCTCACTTTGGCATGTTCAACTGCCCAGGCCAATCTTCAGGCGATGATCCGAAAGGCGATCTCCGAGGGACGGCCCATGGAAGAGTGGACAGCCTAGGCGAGCGCCTGACCGCTGGTGCGGCTGCAGCGGTGGCACATGTGGCACTGGTGCATAAGAGGAGGGTGGTGTGCTGGGAGTAGGTTGGAGGTATCACACCCAGAAAGGGAATATACCCAGCAGGTGCATGCTGCGTTTGTTTTTTTTCCTGGGAGTGTGGCGATGGTGTGCACAGCCCAATCTGGCAGCTGCAGACATGAGTTTGTGTGCGTTCTGCGGTTGAACAAGCAAAGCAGCGCGGTTATTGAATTTGCCATCCCCCTGTCCCCGTCCAAAACCACTGGATGAAGTCCTCATGTTTGTTACATCCTGGTGGTTTCCCAACCTATGCCCCAGTCACCAAAAGGGGCTTAGCCCACCAGGGGCGTATGACTGTTGGTGTTCTCCAATGCTCCAAGTACCGAATCATCATGACTTAAAGCATCCTGAACCCCACAAAAACACTCCCCAGAATGATCATAAGTGGACCATCGCCCATGATCATGGGCGGGCCCCGCGGGGATGACAGTGGTGAACTCCACTTCCATGATGACACCGAGTGTCTTCAGCACACCTGAGGCTTATGGCACAGCTTGCGGCTCTGACCAACACATCCCTCTAAGCTGTGGCGAGCTGTGGCGTGGCTTGGCCCTCGTTGAAATCGCATTACTGTATATCAACACCTGACAGTGTGTTGAAAATGCAGGGGCCTGGCCATACGGCCATACTTCCGGAAGGCCCTCATGGCTGACCGGGCTCAACTCCTGACAGTGCTCCCTTTTGCCGCCCAAGGATGACTTTGTTGCAATGATATTGTTGCAGATAGACATCGATGTATAGGCTGTATAGGTGCTTCAGATGGTGTTTTAAGGCGAAGGGCACTACATCTTGGTCATTTTGTGCATGTCTCACAACGCTCGGCTTTCACCGGCTGACCAGGTGTTTTCCAGCATTGCGTTCCGGAGAAAAGTGAGTGTGACTGGGCGGGTGGTTTTATCTCAGCCTTCGCGTCTAGGACGAGTATCATATGTTTGAATGTGGTTATATGAGGGATGCTGGCTGTTCTCGGATTGGAGCTCCAAGCTTGGCTGCTGGCTATGATGGAGCTCCTGTGCTCACACAGATTCATGGAAGATTGTTGGACCATACCGCCACCTCTTAGACACTGGCACTGGCACAGGAATTCTTGGTGAAGAGTTGAATCAATCAAAGTCCATCCCGATGACTCAAGAACTCAAACATCACCTAAGATTCACCCAGGAATGACCAGGAATGGCTCAACCGACCACCATTTAGACATAATATGATAGACTCATAGACAACATCACCCTTCTGTGGCCCAGCTTGCAGGACCAAAGGCTATACGTATAATGGTTCAGGGGGAAGGACGACATGTCCCAATGGCCCTAACTCCTCCCTGGCTTCACTCCTTCGAGGGAAGAGCGGACAGTCATCAGCCCTGGGCCGATACAGCATCTGAGCGGCAGATTTGGGGGGTGTCGGTGTTGGTTGCGGAGGCTTTGAAGACCAGTTCGAAGACTTGAAACTCCAGCTCCTTCAATGGGGAGGTACTGTGGCTGTAGCATTCCAACAATTCGGTGGAGGCAACCAGGCTCAACAAAGTACAAGAAGATCATCAACTATTGAGAGAGCTAAATTATGGAAGGGGACCTGTGGAAGGAGACAGATCTACTAGCACACAACGTGAACATCATGGTTTCCTTTTTCAATAGAAACCGGACCATGACCAGGAGTTTTGTTCTTTAGAACGCTTGTCACTTTGGGATGGACATGAAGCAAGGTAAGACGGCCATGAAAAAGGACTGTTGCCCTTTGAAGGGTTCCGTGATGGTCTGAAGAAGGACTGCATTTTGGGCCATTCATATTGGGTGGCCATTCATTCAAGCCTGGAAGCCATTTGCAAGGGATATCAGAAATGCAACAGCGGTAGAGGAATAGCACTCAAACTCGCCACTACATTCACTGGACCTGAGGACATCTAGCAACAGTGAGAGGCAAACATCATGAACTGATGTAGGTAAATCAGACATGCTTGATTTGCCATGTCAATCCGCTCAGGCCGCTGGACAGGTCCAGAAGTTCTAAAATAAGAATGTGTTAGCTGCAAGCAAACACCCATCCCATTACGTCTTGGCTCTCCAACTGCTCTGGCCACACTGCTGCCTAAGGTTTGCCGGACCCTGCAGCAGCGCAAAGACGCGAACGTGGGCCCCCAAGGAGGGTGACTGGACACAGACTGAGCCAGGTGAACCTGGACATCACATGACTGAGCTTTCTTGTTTGAGGGTCCAAATGCCAGAAGATGACAGGAATGTGCGTGTCGCCAGAAGGTGGCGCAAGAAGTGGCAGGGCTTCCACCTCTCGTCGCCGACCTGGTCATTACTTTCCACCAGCTCCTTCAGGTTATGGACACGTCCCAGCAAATTGCCCCCAAAACAGTTTGCTTTGGGGTTGCCAACCCTTGGACAAAATCTGGGTTTCACATGCTTTCACAGATCGCCGACGGCATCGAGCTAAGAAAACTGGTAGTTGGAGGAGTCACCTTCCAGATCTGTTGTTCCTATAGACCATCAAATTCACTCTTTGCATCCTCTGGCCCGGATCTTTCTTTTGTGATTCACCGGAGCCCCAGGGTCCGAGTTTCCAGGAACCCGGGTTTCGGCGCTGGGCGCACCTGTAAATTGGCCTCTCAGATGTGTGTGTTTTTCTTCCAAGCACTCCCTGGACGTGGCGATGATGGCTCGTTCGGAGGACCGACAGGTTGACGCATGACATCCGAAACCCAGAGACAGGTGAGCAGCGTCCAGAACTCCCAAGTAAAGAATGAATAGGGCTATGAAACTAACGTATAGTCTTTGCGAAAGAAAAGCACCGCCTCAGGTGGTGAACTTTGCTTCGATGATGTTTCCAGGGATTGTGCGTCGTTCCCTTTTATTCGGTCCCATGTCGCGCGGGGTTCGTCGTTCCCTCTCAGGTTGTGCATGCCACAGGTGCAGCGGGTGAAACAGATGGCCCCCTGGCGGCGTTTGGAGAGAGGGAGCAGCCACAGTCGACTTTTGGACGGTTTAATCAGGTTGAGTTCAGTTAATATTAAGTGCACTGATGTCCACTGTTCACTTGATTTAAGTCCAGTTTGAGTCAGTTGATTGTTTGATATTGTTTGATCTCACTAGATGCTTGCGGTTTTGGTCCTCGTGAGCTGATGAGAGGACTTCCGCCAATGAGGGTGGTTCCTGGTCGAGGGGGGCACGGCCGGCACGGCCCGCATGGGCGCATGGAAGAACATTTCGGAATGTAGCTTTAGTATACACACTCTCTTGCATGGAGGAAGCTATGAAGTGAAGAGGTTGGGTCTTCGCAGTGGCTGCTTGACCCACCCGCATTTGGCACGAATGGCCTAGCCGGCTTCGCCTCTTGCTCCATGATGTTTACGCTTTTTAGCCGTCGCTTCGCCGACACGTGGCTCAGGCGATTTGCGAAGAAACGTTGGCGAGACTCAAGTTGAAGGCAAGAGGAGCTGGCTTGACCGCCGTCTCGGTCAGGTTGGTTGCTAGACCAGCGTCTCCTAGCTGTTCTTTAGTGTGAGACCCATGATGACAAGTATCTTCTTGGGGGCGCCCCCATGCATCTCAAAGCCAAAATTATGTTGGTACTTTGACAAGTCGCTGCCGTTCTGAACGCCCTTCGTTGGCATGTTTGATCAGGCCCCTTTTTTGTTTGTTTGGCAAGCAGAACGTGTTTCGATAGAAAAACTGAGGGACTTCACTTCTATCCTGGTGAATCAAGATCAGGTTGACACGATCAAGGCTCTATAGACATCCATATTATATATGGACCTAAGGGTTCTTTGGTACTCGGATTATTCAGACAACTAGTGTGTGATCATG